ATCTCTTTATCTATATTAATTTCTATCTCAGTTTATTATTTGTTTATCTATCTATCTATCTATCTATCTATCTATCTATCTATCTATCTATCTCTCACTAGATCGACTGCTCTATCACTATGAACGCCATAAGGCCATGACCTCAAATTTACAAATTTAATGATTTGCTGTATTCTGATAATTTTCGAATATCTACAATTTGCGTGTTCCATACCGACAAGTTAATTGTATGTCTATCACTAAAATTGAATACGATCCTATTTTGACACCATATTATCAAACTAAATGCGTAGGCCAGTTTCTGAACAGGAGAAGGTCTACCATTCTAGTGTTATATATCAGTAAAATAAAAAGGGGTTTTATTTATCACCGGGTCAGGAACATTATCGACATCAAGACGCTCGTATTTTGACCTTATATTTATAAAGTGCAGTTCATTAATTGAAATACGCCTGCTCTTTTATTTTGAAGTGCCACGAATCTACTCACATAACCGGGTCAATCGCGTCTGCATTATAAACTCAATCATATTCTGAAGTCATGTTTACAATGTAATATAGTTGATTAATTCAAGAGCGGCTATCGTTTTAGCCTTAAATGCCGGGTAGATAACGATATACGTTCAGTAGAAGTCTTCTTCGGTTTTCAGAGTAGTTCGAATGTAAGAAAGCGTTCGGATACAATGTGGCATGTGTAATAATTGTTATATAGCAATAAAGTGTCGATGTCGACACTTGTGTTTGAACATCGATCGCCACTGAGAAAACACGGTCGATCCCATTATTAAATCAAATAGACCGCGTGACCGTACAGGAAACGTATATATGCAGGAATTAGCTGACGACTAACGATCGCTATTTCTAGTCTATCCTCTATTACTATACAGATCTGCATGTCTAATCTATCCTCTATCACTATATGGAGCGCTATTCTCTACTGTATTCACTATACTATTTCTCTATTCGGATCACTATACGGATTAAAATTCGAGCGAGTATTATCGAGCGAGTATATTAGATTATTCGAAGGCCTCTGACACTCGTATAATTCGACGGCGTTACTATAGTTGTATCTGCGATTACAAAGTCTCTACTATAACGAGCATTTACGAAAGTGAGAATGGGTATTCGTTGGCATAACAAACGTGGCGATGAGTGTTCGTTGACATTACGAAAGTAATATTTATATACAAGAAGGAAATATATAATTTGTATTCAATGTATAGATTAAGGGAAAAGAAATTGCTTCCCTTTTACCGTATTTTAATTTGTAATTGATTGTTCGAAAGAAAGTTCTCGTGAGAGAAAAATGTTCAGGAATCAATATTAGAACAAAGGACTGTTTGCTAGAATAGATAACACAAGAATACAATTGATCAGAAAGTGTGCTGTGTTAGAGAAATTAACAGAGTCCTGGTTGATTGAACTTGGCTGAGTCACAGAGAGATATGTATATATGTATTACAAAAGTATGTGTGTGCGTTTGAAATGTTGTGAGTAAAGTCATAGGTTTGTGTTGACAGGCGAAATTTGCTGTACTCTACTGGCGACTTGCGAAAAGAAGTCGGTAAGAGTTGTTGGCAATGTTCTTTAACGTCTGACCGCACGGTTAAAACGGGAGCTCTTGAAGACTACATCTTGGCAGCAAGGAAATAGATGAACAAAGAGAACGAGAGAGCCTTATTCGTAAGGTTGTGTCTCACGTGACAGGCTCACGGCCTTGTGCGCGGGAAATCTTATTCCTCGCGTGCAGGCGATCTGGTTGGTCGGACCTGACCAATCAGAGAGCTAGTTTTGAGGACATTAGCCAATGAATGCTTGTCGTATGATATGCATGTATGTATGTGTGTGATGGCGATGATGATCGCTGCAATATAATTATAACTTCACCCATCACAAGAACTTATCGCAATATATGAAAAATTAAGCGTCTCTCGAAAGTAAATATTAATTGCTAATGCTTAATGGTCAATATGATTTATTTTCTATTGAATTTCTTATTTCGTTTCGCTTTCTTTTCGCTGTTCTAGTGTTTTTAAAGCAAGAGATTTCTGAAAATTACGTGCCCTTGTACATTCTATACTACTGAACAAAGATGAATTTGATGACCTCATCCATAGCTTTCCTTACTGAGTCCCAATCTTTTTCATCATTCTTCATATTTGCGCCATTATCGGAAGAATTTGATTCTTCTATTTCTCGACAAATCAAATTATTTTGAAGCGATTCTACTGTTGGATTCTTTTGCAATTCGTCAGAGTCCTCATTTATTCAATCTTTTAACTCATCCAAAGTGGGAGTATTTGGTGGATCGTAAGTTTTAGTGTTTCTTTCCGTTTCTGCAATCCTTGTTTGTTAACTTGCCAAATGAACAAGCTTTGTCGATTGTTTGCTCTTCAGTTGTGTTTGTTTCAATGGGCCACTCGTTTTCTGCCAGTTGAAATTTGTTCTGTGTGAAATATTATGGGTCGAGAAACTTCAAGTTACTTACAATTATCGGCAAAGAAAAAAAAATTAGAATTTAACATATTCCTACAACATCTAAATATCAACACGGAGAAGCCCCTATATGAGGACGTTCAGATATGATGACTTCTACTGTATTTATTGCCAAACCGACTGGTTTATCAGCACCAACAGAATCTTGTAATAAAATTTACAAATTTAATTGTACATTGTTACATAAATTCATTCGTTTATTTTTAAATAATTTATTTTAATAATTTTTATTAATAGTTCTCATAAACTATTCAGAAATATTGATAAAATCATTTTGGTTTGGTTTGGTTTGTTTTACGGTATATCAACCTCAATGGGTTATTTAATGCCGACAAGAGTTTTAGGATAGGTTCGTATGAATAGAATACGGATTCTTTGTATGAAATCAGTTTGGTTTGGTTTGGTTTGGTTTATTTTACCGCATATCAACCTCAATGGGTTATTTAATGCCGACAAAATTTTTATTGCTGGTAATATGTTTGTCTTCAAAAATCTATTTCTGGGAATATTTTTCTTTGAAGAAGTCTATAGGTGGTCATATATTTTTTAAAGAATGTATAACTGTATTGCTGATATATATATTTTTTTAAAGAATTCTTGATAATAATTTTTCCTTCCTAAATTATGGTAATATTTTTTTTATTATAAAGTATTTCTAGTATTAAATCCTGTTTTTACACAAGTCTGGGTGTTAACTATTTGCCCATAGCTGGGACCTTAACAGGTGCTACCACCCCGGGTCAGGGTGGACCTGGGAACACCAGCAATTAAGAGGTAGTTCCACGTTCCTCAAAACCTCCTGATCAGAGAACTTGTTGTTGGACATAGTTTATCGTCTTATCTAGGACGCAGATGTAGTTTATCGCCATGCCCAGGACGCAAAAGCATTTTGGTAAAACAGTGGTCGTGAGTTCAATCTCTAGGTGGGCCAGTGTGTACTCAGTGGAAACGGGTGAACAATAACTGAACCGTACTAAATAAAAGTAGAACTAGATGATATCCTTAGTGGGTTGGGATCCGTCTACCTACGTTGATTAAAAAAGGGTACAATTCAGAGTTATCTGTCGGTTACCAAGGTCGATATACACCTGAGAAAGACCGGAGAGAACAAGAGCTGTAACGCTGTGACAGCAACAACAAAGATGTGGACAATAGTCCGAATATAACGAGTCTAAGGAATCAGTGTTATTGCCGTCATATATCTGTTAATTACAAATGTATTTATAAGCAGAACGACTGCGTTTTCCATATCAACAGAGTGTACCGACTAGTGTTGGAGGGCCCCCCCGCCCCGCCATGTACTGCAGCTAGAGCAACTATGGCGTGCCTCGGCCAAGGTATTCTGTCTCAGGCTTCTTTAGGCTGGATTTAACTTCAGAATTCCCCAAGACTAGTTGCCAATGTGGAGTGAGAAACGATGAATCAGCACATTTTACCAAGGATACATGTGCGAAATTAAATGCACTGAGCTCGACCTGACTTAATTCGAACTCAACTCTGCAATTTTTCTTCCGAGTAGCTAACCACTACACCACCAGCAGACCGCATCATATATACAGACCACATATTTACACGCCCATGACTTATGGCTCTATGTTCATTCAAGGCCATCAACCATATTTACTGTTACCTATCAGCAAGTTACAGACATATTTATCACTAGGCGGACTACTTTGTCAACATCAACAGCCCCGTATTTTGACCTTACATTTACAATGTCCTCAGGGAGATTGCTTATTCAGGAAAGTTGTCCATATAACTGTGAAATATCAATAAGATATAGATATATTAACAAGCAGACTGCTTTGTCGACGTCAACACCATTAGATTCTAAACTCATAAGTATGAATAATAACTTCGAGACGTTTGCCAATTGAAGATCATTTACCGTTTTAGGGTGAAATCCCAGCAAGTGGGAGCGATATATTTAGCACCATTGACGCAAGCAGATGTTTACCTCTTATTTACAATGTAATAACTCGATATACTGCGTTCACACAATTATATGTTCCAGTCTAGGGCAATTAGCAAACTACAGATATAAACAGTGGAGTAATGGATAGCGGCTCGGATTGGGGAATCGGTGAACCGAGTTCGAATTCCAGTTGAATCCATTACATTCACTCACGTGCTAATACCCTTGGGAAAGGTATGAATCCTCTACTTCTCCCCCCGGCTATGGGTAAAAAGCAGGACAGATAGGGTTCTGTAGTCTTGCATGGCAAGTGGCTTACCGCAGAAAGAAATGGCAACCTACTGCGGGAAAAAACATCTGCCTCGTCAGTCATGTATCGAATGATACATGGTCGCCTAAGCATGTATCACGCATGGCACTTAAAGGACTGACAGATTTAATTATATAGGAATATTACCAAGATGTAATTGGTAGCGATTATTCCAAGGGGACGTTTTAGTTCATATGAGAGCTCAATGTATGATACAGAGCAAAATATAATAATAATAATTGGGGAAAAGAAACTTTCCCAAAAATAGTCTGATGAA